GTCCGGACAATCTGCGAGTCAGCGAGCCATGGAAAAAAGAAATAGCTTTATGAAATTGTAAATGTATGAAAAATGTTTCCTGCTTCGTTCTCTATGGGTATGTGACGTTTTGCTGCTGGAATATTTGCAGAGTTACGTAGTATTGGTCGACTTTCATTGATTAGGGTTAAGCGCGCATTTTACTGACTATGGTTGAGCCAACTCGCTTCGGATTAGGGTTAAGCGCGTTTTCGGGTTAAACACTCATGGTCTAGGTGTAGTTGACCTCATTCAAGATCAAGGATCCAAAGAGGAAAACATTTCTTCTAGCCTTGGGTGCTCATTGATCAGGGTAACAAAGCTTACCTTTATTTTTGGCGGTGTCCTTCAGATATGTAACGTCTTAATGCAATGATCAATCAAGCTTTACCTTTATGTACATGATAATCAACTCCAGCGAAGATAAATACAAGCTGTCATCTTCTCTTCTGAAACTTAAATAATGTTCACTAGACCTTGACAGTCAATCTCCATGGCACAGCTGGCGGAACGAGTTATTTTTGACATTTTCAAACTCGACTGAGTCTTTTAATTTGCCGGTGCCTTTGCTTTTGTACAAAGAATAAAGTTGTTGTTGTTGTTGTAAATCGCAAAAATACAGTACCTAAAAATTCAAGAATGATTCATGTTATTTTATAAAATAAATGAGTGATCTTGCGAGACTATATCTAATAGTCGTTCAGCTCGATTTGGCTTAAAAAATAGATTTTAATTAGTTCATTTAAATTTATTATGGTGTGTTTGAAAGACTTTTCATAAATTCATCCACATAATATTCTAAAATCGCAATCCGTTGGATTCGATCGGTTATACTATATGATGCCTACTTTATAGCTGTGTTATTTTTGGTTGAATTGGTCAGCTGGTGTCCTTTCAAAAAGTAAATTTAAACTTGACCCGTTTTTGTGTCGTACAACAGACCGTGGGATCGTCAAAACTAAGAAACTAGCCAAGGAATTACACCCTTTAATTGTTTTAGCAACATTTTTCATGCTTTTTAAAAATTCTGGTGAGCTCTCTATTCGACCGCAGCCACTGACATTTCACATACATTGATCACATATCGCACAGCTCGAATGCTTAAAAAAAAGCTGTAACGGATCCTGGGGGAGGGTCCGGGGGTCCGGACCCACCCTATCAGGCCTGACGCTTGTTTGCGACTGAAATTCTTACATCGACGGGATCGTATATCACAGTTTTAAACTGGCTGATGTTTTTTAATGAAACGCACGTTGCATTTTGTTTCTAAACCAAATTCCAGGGATATTCAAGATTTTAGGTTCAAGATGCAGCGAAGACAACAGGGCTGGAGCCGAAATGTTTGCCTTGGTTCCATCTGCTTTGGTGAGGTATGACAGTCTTCGTAATTTAGAAGAAAGCTGCAATTTTGGTAACAGGACTTACCTACACCGTCCTCTCTTCCTTCTGAGTTAAAGGAATGGCAATACTTTTGGTGCACTCCCACTATACAGCTGGAAATCTAATAGAGTGTGTAATATCTGCTGAGGAGGATATGTATCCCAACATACGAGTTTTGCTTACAATTGGTTGTACCCTTCCTGTTAGTTCTGCCTAAGCTGAGCGTTCATTCTCTGGCTTGCGACGAATCAAGTCATATCTCACAAATAGCATGTCGGATAAGCAGTTGTCAGGACTTGCACTCATGTACTTACATCATGACCTTGACATTGATGTTGACCAAATCTGTACAATCTTTGTTACCAAGCACAAGAGGAGGATGTTCCAAGGGTGCATCCTTTGCGAGTAGAATTCAAGAATCCGGTAAGGGGCCAAGGAGTTTTATCGTGCAACCGCGACTGGTGAGAGGAGGCGTGGGGGTTGTGGGGAGAAGTACCGTATTTATTCGAATAGGCGCCCAACCTCAAATTAGCGCCCACCTCGAATAAGCGCACATCCTAAAGGCAGAAAAAGTTAATAAGCGCCCACTCGCACGGTCCAAACATTTAATAAGCGCCCAGGGTGGTTAATCGAATAAATACGGTAATTTGCCACAAAAAAGCTCAACGAGTCCTTTCTGAACCAAAGTTTGGACCCCACCCCCCTCCACCCCCCAATCAAAAATTCCTGGATCTGCCCCTGAAAAGTTATCGTCACCCCCAAATGTAAAGGAATCTGGATTCCAGAATCAGGGAAATTTTTGCTTGTAGAATCCGGAATCCTGGGCTTTGGAATCGGCAATACAGCTCTCTGGATTCTCACAACTGAGTGGAATCAAGAATCCAAGTTCCACTGACAAAGACTGGAATCCAGTACCTGCAATCTGGAAACCACGATGTGGAATCCAGGATCCAAGTATGTTTTAAATTCTCTTACGTGGGGCGATCAGCCCTTCATAACACCTTAATGAGAGCATCGTACCGTCAGCATTCATGTGAGCTAAATATCCAGGCGGGGCTGTTAATAGCTCCATAGCATAAAAACCAGTTGTTAGCGAGAAATTTTTTTAAACCATTTCTTGAAAGTAGTTGCACTATTAACTAATTTATAAGAGGAAAGGTTAGGGTCAAAGCTCTAACTCATGATAACAGTTGAGCTGTGTCCTTTTAGTTAACTGATCACAATGGATCTTATTCACCTTTTTCCTGGGAAGTGAAGGGCTATCAAAAACGTAGCCTGTTCACAGACCCTCTATTTTCTTAAGTCCCTCGAGCGCAGTTGATAAAATATAAACCGCAGGGGATTTATTGACCGCCAGCGTAAGAGGTTAGTGGCGTGGAAAGAAGAAAATAGTACTTTTCTTTCTCGCGCGCTCGCCGATGTTTTTGAAAGGAACGAAAAGAAAAATAAAACGTCTATTAAGAGGCTATGGTTATCGTTTGACCGTAGTTACTAAAACGAGGAACATTAAGAACATTGAGACTTGAATTAAAAACTCTCTTTATACTTTATATTTTTAGTGGTTAGTTCATCCTGTAAATGTTAGTGGCTACAAAATCGAGGTCATAGAGCCTACAACACTGAGTGCATAACCGGCTGCGTCGCGGAAAAAGGGCGGTGACCCGGAACAACCGTCATAAAAACAAATTCTAGTTGGTAAGTTCGTAACACTCCACCATGCATTCGTTATATCTGCATGATTGAAACAGAGTTCTTAGAATCTTGAGGTCAGTCTGAGTCTCTACAAAATCAACACCAGCTCCGTGATCCTCCTTTCCCAACTTTATGAAAATTAATGGATTAGATTAATAATAGGAGAAAAATTAAAATGCAAAGTTGGTGTTTCCTCATCTTGTTTGTTGTTTTTTGCTGGTGATGCGGTGTTTGTCATTTTTTTTCTGTAGTGTTGGCAGTTCCCTCCTAGCTCCTTAACGTAAAACATGAGAATTAAATTTTTCCCAGTTGACAAACCTGTCTCATACCCGTTGAAAGCAAGTAAAGTGATGCGGAGTCTAAAGAAACACAAATATATTTACACACATTCCACATTAAACATTTCATTCACACACAGTCGAATAAATGCAAGCCATGTTTTTTTTTTTAAATGTACGTTTCTTAAGGTTAAAGAGCTCTGCCCACAATCATCGGAACTATCTAGTTAATGAGTTACATTGAAAGAGTAGGTTTTCATCATGCACTATTGCACACAATTTTTGTTTTTATTACATCCATTCTGAAATCACTGGTGATCCCTGCAATCTTATTGGCTCTCAGCACTGTGATTTATTCACGAATTGCACTATTTTTGCTTCAAATCACATCTGTTCTAAATTGTGTCATTCATGTTCTAAATCGCATAGTTTTTGTTTCAAATCGCAACAGTTTTGCTCTTACATCGCATCATTTTTGTTTCGATTACAAAATGAGTGTAGAAGCCTTTTAATGCTTCTACTTTTCATCAAACGACTACTAGATCAATTTAACTTGGTACTGACTGAATTCTGCGATTTCAAAATGCTGTAATAGGGTGGTAATTAAACTTCGTGTAGTGCAATTTTGGTCCGAAATCATACTAGTTTTGTGTTTTCAAATCGAACTCGCGCTGCGCGCTCCCATTTTAAAATCGTGCGTATAATTTCAGACCAAATTGAACTCTCGCTCAGTTCAATTACCATTATTTACAACCTCCAACATTCACAATTTATCTTGTAGGTCTCTCTCCTTCAAGGATGACTCTTTAAACCACACATTATCAAAGACCCCGCCAAATAGCCTACCTCTGTCAATTCAATCCATTTCGTTTTTTTTTTCCAACGGCGGGGATTCTTTTGGTCACTGGCGCTGATCGAAAGGATCGCGGTCTAAGTATAAACACCCGCTCAAGTTGAGTCGGTTGGGAGGGTGTTCCATCTACCCGCGGCAGGCCTTCTTCATACAAACGGAGCCTCAGTTAAGACATAGGTTTGATCTACGGTGTAAAAACGACTCAATGCCTAAGGATTGTGTAAAAATCTAACAACTAATCAGCAGCATATAGTACACCAAACTAATACCCGATGAATTTGCAAGGTGGGTGATCACTAATAAGGTTTCTGGTCAATGTAAAGTGACCATGCCCTTAGCATGGCTAAATCAACAGCAGCTGGCTATGTTAAAGCTAACCCTGATCATGAACCGACGAAAACTTTAGCAAAAAGCCAGATTAAAAGGTGCACAAAGATTGATGTCAAAATTTATGCTGATGCCGTCCAACGGTAACATCGCCCGTTAAAAATTGACCAAAAGGCTCTGATTGATTTCCAAAGGTGTCGGCAACATGAATCTTATGTACCAGTTTTAAAGCATCCATTCTAAGGTAGGAATGCCTTCATTTGTTGCAAAACAACCGTTAAGGCAAAATTGAGTGATAATAAACAAATCGACTACTTAATGATGCGTGAGATTCAACTAACTTTAGCTTTCAATAATAATAGGCACACAAGTAGAGAGGCTCAAACTCCTCTGCTCCTCCCTCAAATAGAGTCCTAAATTAAAATAGCGATATTCTCAAACTTATTTTATAACTACTTGTTTGAATGATGATGGAACAAATCCTCAAAAAGAGATTTCCCACTGTAAACCAAGCCAAGTGCAGCAGCAAGGAAACCGAAAATTAAAACTGATATATCAAAAATATAATGGTATAGTTTTAGCTCATGTTGTTTTATGACGAGGTGGAAAATTACTGGTAAAATAAACGCAATTGCAGATCCCGATAAACTTGAAATAAACGCCATAAAGAGCGCAAAATGTGGGATTAAAATTGCTGGAAGTAAGGTAAGGAAATTGGTTGAGACTCGGATGCCAATAAACCAAACAAGATCGGGTATCTTGCAAGAGAACGAATCGGGGGAGACTGATTCTTCGATTGTTTGGATTATCGTTATTACACAGAAAGGATATGAAAAAATTACGTTTAAAAGTAAAAATGCGTTTACAAGGCTACGGATAACTCCCACAGGAAGGCTGTTTACGATAACATCTTGGATATTAGAACTGAAAGATAAAAATGCACACACTGAAAAAAACACTTTTACGATAGCAACGAAAAAGTATGAAAGGGCAAGCATTGTGCGATATTTGGATTTGTTTTCCATGCTTGCCTCAACACCTGGCAAGACAGGGTGGCATATATAACTGAAGATAATAATTGCAATCGAAACGGGCACTTTATCTATATTCCACACCAAGATTTCCCTTGGGGCCCATGAGTATTCATGAGCTATTCCGTAAGCTAAAACAGCAACTACTGCTACCATTAAAGCTATCACACTCAATAAACTCATCCATGCAACCTGCGATAGATTCTTCACAAATAAAGTTGGAAGACTCACCGCAGCTGCGATAAGCATCCATACTTTGTCGGACAGCGGCAAATCTGGAAAGATACCTCTCGAAAGCGAGGCAAATAATACAAGGTACAAAGATGCCAGGAGAAAAAGTTCCACTAACTGGATAGTGGAAACTATGGTACCGCCAAAACGAGGCGAGAAAGCTTCACCCAGTTGTTTATAGTTGGATCTGACACGCACTCTTTCTCCAGCATCGTTTTTTTCGTAAAGGCAGTCAATCAAGATTGTTCCAGTGTAGAAAGCGATAAATGGCACAACTGCCATTGCTGCTATGGCCACTAGTCCACTCTGAGCTATGACATATGGTAATGCGAGCAGGCCTGTTCCCTCAATGCTACTCATCAAGTTGACTACTGCTTTCCAGAGGGGAGACTTGTCGGTGGCAGCTGCTTTGTCTTCGGCTGATTCTTCTTCTTGGGTTGATTCCGGTGGTTCTTCTAACTCATCAGCCAAGACTGGATCACTTCTAAGCAAATGGTAACCGGTGGAATGAGTTTCTTTTTTCATTTTTAAACCTGATATCTCTTTGCCCCTTTTTTGTCCGGCGCAGCCTTGAAAATGTTTTACACAGTCGCTTTTCTTCAGAGCCTGAAAAAAGAAATAAAGTCAGAGGTTTCTTGCCATAGGGTACTGCTGTGGCAAATATCATCGCTATACCAGTTTGGTCCAAACAACAACAAATAACAAATCTTGTTTTCAGTGAATGTTTTTTAGCACTGTGAAAGCTGACTGTCAAAGAATATTGGGAGCTCTTTGCCATTTGTGGACAACTTTTAATGGTCAGGCATAATTTATATGGTCAACAGTTAGATTTATTAATGGCAACAAGGGGCTACCTGTATTTTTCTTATGTATAAAAGGTAGAAAAACATATGCTTGCAATGTTATTTTGCTTGATCTGAAGAACTTTTATATTGGATTTATAGGCATGGCTCCAGAGAAATAATGGGACAGAAGAAATGGTCACAGGCTGTAGTACATGCAGTTATATTTATGCAAGTTGTGGTGGCCAAGCTTAAAAAATACTCCACAAAAGTATTTCTAGATCATCATTTCTAGATATTCATGAGTAAATAAAGAAACGAGATACTTCCAGCTTTTGCTATCAGATATTACGAAGCCTACAACTGGTAGCCTTGCTATCTTTGTAAAGGCCAAGACTTTTTTCGTGTCAACTGAATTCTTAAAAATAATGGTCCATTTTTGTTATTTAAAACTATATTTAGGCCTTGAAACTGTTTCCTTTTGTCTTTTTCCACGGATGTCAAGGATGTAAATGGATTGAAACTTGAAAAAGTTGGCTATGCCTGCAGAAAATCACCAAAAAATTATTATTATAGATATTGTTCCCTGATGGAAATAGTTTTAGATCGTTTTCATAACTCTACACAGGCTTTTTTTTGGACAACACGAATAAAGTAATGTTTCAGTACAGAATTGACCTCAAACAGCAATATCCTCGTGACACTATTTTCCCGCTTTAAAGGAGAGGAATTGGTGCCATTTTACGGGAATCCCTACCAAGGCTTAAAAAAGGCTAAAAGGCTTAGCGTAGACTAAGTCATTTATCAGCTCCTAAACCTCTTGGGTACAAACGACTCTAGACATGAAGCTGTTAACAACGAACTTTTGATGAATTTAGTTGCATGTGTGAGTATACGTAATTGGTTTTTGATTGGCAAACTAAAATTGGCATGGGGCTGTGGCGAATCTTCCACCCATTCCATTTGTCTTTATAGTGTTGGTTATCGTAAATATGTTTAGATACAGATGTACTTTTCTTTCTGTCTGTTCATCACTAACTAACCAATTAATTTTCCAGGTATCATCATTTACTTTATTTACTCCGTTATTGTAAATTTTTTGTTTGATGGTCTCGTGGTGATTTAGGCTCGAATGATGCGATATTTAACTGGTGGGAAGTTTTTAAGCGAGCCAGAACAGCAACTCGCTTTGCGAGTTTTTTCCTGAGATAAGCGACCCTGGATGACGAAGATAGGGAGGGATCGAGGGGTCGCGAACTGCAAGGTAGGCAGTATTAATGGCAGTGACTAGCTAATCAGCTACCACCGTCAAGTCGAAGAAGGAGATCTCGCCTGAAGTTATATCGCCCGAACTCCAGAATTAATTTACGCTTAGATACAATAGCTTTAACTCTATAAAATAAACAAATACCATGCGGAATTTGGAGTGATGTTCAGAGACTATATAAGTCGCTGAAGGCGTCTTGGTCAATCTGCCTTGAAAAATAGATTTCGCTTACTTACGGTGTGTTGAAAGATTTTTATGCACTTAATATACTAAAATCGCACTAATACCGCACCTAAAAATTCAAGAATGATTTATGTTAGATTTCAAAACAAGGGAAGTTTATGAAATAAATGAATAATGTTGAGAGACTGTATATAATATAAGAGCTCAGGTCGGTTCAATAACTTGAACCTAGAAATGAGGGCCTCCACTTGTGTAATAGTTAATCAATAATGCTACAAATAGTTATTCATCTTTTAGGCAGTAATTTAAAAAAAACTGGCACCCTCCTCATCTCCTAATTCTCTGACCACGCCTCTCCCTTGACAAGGCCGTATACATAATTAATGTAACCTAAGGGCATAAGATCACAGGTCTTGGTCGTTAATTATTAAACAATTACTGAATGAGGCTGGGTATCTTATGAAGAATTAAGGAGATCGAGGAAGGTGTTATCCGGCCAAGGCGGATGACACCCTCCGAGATATCCATAATTCTTCATATGATACGAAAGCCGAATTCAATAATTGTGTTATTATTCAATTCAAAATAATTCCTAGTTTAAAAACGTAGCTAAAACATGCTTACCTCCATCGATGTTAAGTTCACCTTCGATAGTGCACGTTTAAGGTTGTTCAGCTCCGCAAATATTCTCCAAGTAGCAGATGTCTTCCATCGAGTTGCCTTCTTGCTGTTCTTGCCATGTTTTTAGCTATATGATTATTTCGCCTAGTTCTTACTATTGAAACGAGTGAAATGTCCGCCATTTTTGTTTTCAGAACCAAAACAACTCAATCTCGTCCCCAGGTCTTCTCGGTTAACGGTGTATTAACCTGCAAGAAGCCTGTACTTTTGACGTCATCGGTTCATTAAACGCAAAATTCTTCCAAATTTAGTCATCAGTAGCTGGTTATTGGTGAACTATGCGTGTGATTTAGCCAATCAAAATCGGGGAAATATTTTGAATAAATAATAAATTTATAATAAGAGCACAGAATCGATGATTCGTGTGAGCTTAATAAACATTAGCTCATTGGGTCAGTGGCATGAACGTCATTCTTTTAAGCGATAATGTTGGGAACAATTTCTTGAAAGAAGTTGCATTGCTTACTTATTAACAAGGGGGAGCTAGGGGCAATGCACTAATGATAACAGCTAAACTTTTATCTTGTTCATGGCTAACTGATTACAACCAACATCACATGCTTAGCCCGTCAATCCGGCCGGGCGTCATCGTTTATAATTATTCATTATCGAGAAGCGCCATGTAGACATTTTCCCTTTTCTTTTATTACTTTACCTCACTGAGACGAAAAAATATGGATAGGGAAAGGACCACAATACATCTCAATTCAGAGATTCGGGCAATGTTGATCGCTTACGGTCCTCGTGTAAAGCTACATTCAGTCCATTCAGACAAGTTGGTCTAATTTATGCAGATCAAAGAGTAAAACATTTTTTTTAAACTTTGGTGCTGATTGATCAGGGTAACAAAGCTTACCTTTATTTTTGGCAGTGTCCAAAGATATGTAATGATATGTAATGCAATGATCAAGCAAGTGGTACCTTTATGTACATGATAATCAACTCCAGCGGAGATAAATACAAGCGGTCAATCTCCATGGCACAGCTGGCGGAACGAGTTATTTTTGGCATTTTCAAATTCGACTGAGTCCTTTAATTTGCCGGCGCCTCTGCCTTTCCTTAATGCCTTTCCTCCCCTCTTCAAAATCCTCTGACCACGCCTCCCTCCCGCGACAAGGCGGTATACATAATTGATAAACCCTAAGGGCATAGGATTGCGTGCCGTTGGTCCTTAATTATAACCAATAATGGCACCGAATCGATGATCCGTGTGAGCTTAATAAACAAGCTCGTTGGCTCAGTGGCATAAAAGTCATTTTTTTAGGGGAGAATGTTGAGAACAATTTCTTGTAAGAAGTTGTACTGTTTAGTTATTAACAAGGGGGGAGGTAGGGGCAATGCTTCAATGATAACAGCTAAACTTTCATCTTGTTCATGGCTAACTGATTACAACCAACATCACAGGAGTCATCGTTTATAATTATTCATTATTGAGAAAGGCCATGTCGACGTTTTCCCTTTTCATATACCCAGGCGAAAAAAATATGAATAGGTAAAGGACCAAAATACATCTAAGTCGCAGATTCAAGCAATGTTGATCGCTTGGTCCGGACAATCTGCGAGTCAGCGAGCCATGGAAAAAAGAAATAGCTTCATGAAATTGTAAATGAATGAAAAATGTTTCCTGCTTCGTTCCCTATGGGTATGTGACGTTTTGCTGCTGGAATATTTGCAGAGTTACGTAGTATTGGTCGACTTTCATTGATTAGGGTTGAGCGCTCATTTTGCTGACTATGGTTGAGCCAACTCGCTTCGGATTAGGGTTAAGCGCGTTTTCGGGTTAAACACTCATGGTCTAGGTGTAGTTGACCACATTCAAGATCAAGGATCCAAAGAGGAAAACATTTCTTGTAGCCTTGGGTGCTCATTGCATGATCAGAGTAACAAAGCTTACCTTTATTTTTGGCGGTGTCCTTCAGATCTGTAACGTCTTAATGCAATGATCACGCAAGCTTTACCTTTATGTACATGATAATCAACTCCAGCGAAGATAAATACAAGCTGTCATCTTCTCTTCTGAAACTTAAATGCTGTTCACTAGACCTTGACAGTCAATCTCCATGGCACAGCTGGCGGAACGAGTTGTTTTTGGCATTTTCAAACTCGACTGAGTCTTTTAATTTGTCGGTGCCTTTGCTTTTGTACAAAGAATAAAGTTGTTGTTGTTGTTGTAAATCGCAAAAATACAGTACCTAAAAATTCAAGAATGATTCATGTTTTTTATAAAATAAATGAGTGACGTTTCGAGACTATATCTAGTGGTCATCCAGGTCGATTTGGCTTAAAAAAGAGATTTTAATTAGCTCATTTAAATTTATCATGGTGTGTTTGAAAGGCTTTCATAAATTCATGCACATAATATTCTAAAATCGCAATCCGTTGGATTCGATCGGTTATACTATATGATGCCTACTTTATAGCTGTGTTATTTTTGGTTGAATTGGTCAGCTGGTGTCCTTTCAAAAAGTAAATTTAAACTTGACCCGTTTTTGTGTCGTACAACAGACCGTGGGATCGTCAAAACTAAGAAACTAGCCAAGCAATTACACCCTTTAATTGTTTTACGAACATTTTTCATGCTTTTTAAAAATTCTGGTGAGCTCTCTATTCGACCGCAGCCACTGCAGAGGCGGATCTAGGGGGAGGGTGGAGGGGGTGCGCACCCCCTCCCCCTGAGGTGACCTGCGGTTTTCTAATACAACTGGTATTCTGCAAAAAAAAAAAACTATGTGGTTTATTTGTGTTGAAGTAGAGCAAGAGAGGAGTGCACCCCCTCCTAAAAAAAATTCTGGATCCGCCCCTGCACTGACATTTCACATACATTGATCACATATCGCACAGCAAACTGACTGAATTGCAAAGCCCATTTCATTCTGTTGTAACACTCTAAAGTTTACATGGAGTGGGGGACCCCGGTCTAGTGGGGTAGGTTTCTTTTGTTTTGTGTCCGCCAGAGCGTGAAAAACAAAAGAAACCTACCCCACTAGACTGGGGTCCCCCACTCCATGTAAACAGGCCCTAAAGGTGTAAAATTTGACCCCGCACTTTCAGTTTGTTATTCATTTTCTCAAATGCTTTAAGTAATGATCCGGGTATTGTTATGCGGTAACGGTGCTTTCCCCACATAGGAATGTTCTCATTTTTACACAGAGGATGCATAAACCTACGTGAAGGCCGTTTACGCAATAAAATGCATTTACACTCCACTTTAAAAGGGTGTTTTTTTGTGTTAAAAGATTTTGACCAATCACAAGAGTTGAAAACAATAGCCACGAAAAGTTTACAATTTTACATGTTCCGCACATAGGATTTCTTTGTTATTCAAACTGAGACCAGATTTTGTTATATGGAAGATGGTTGGAAAGTAAGGATGAATATATGTACTGCTTTATGAAGTTTTGTTAACTTTTGCTTTTTAAGCCAATCAGAAGTAATTGCATTCCAACATGTAGTCGCATTCCAACATGTTCGTTGCCGTTGTTGCTATCGTTCTTATCTGGACCGTTTCTTAAAAAAAGCTGTGGCGGATCCTGGGGGAGGGTCCGGGGATCCGGACCCACCCTATCAGGCCTGACGCTTGTTTGCGACTGAAATTCTTACATCGACGGGATCGTATATCACAGTTTTAAACTGGCTGATGTTTTTTAATGAAAGGCGCGTTGCATTTTGCTTCTAAACTAAATTCCAGGGATATTCAGAAATCATTTATTGGAAGATTTTGGGTTCAAGATGCAGCGAAGACAACAGGGCTGGAGCCGAAATGTTTGCCTTGGTTCCATCTACTTTGGTGAAGCATGACAGTCTTCGTAATTTAGAAGAAAGCTGCAATTTCGGCAACAGGACTTACCTACACCGTCCTCTCTTCCTTCTGAGTTAAAGGAATGGCAATACTTTTGGTGCACTCCCACTTTACAGCTAAAACTGTAATAGAGTGTGTAATATCTGCTGAGGAAGATATGTATCCCAACATACGAGTTTTGCTTACAATTGGTTGTACCCTTCCTGTTAGTTCTGCCTAAGCTGAGCGTTCATTCTCTGGCTTGCGACGAATCAAGTCATATCTCAGAAACAGGATGTCGGATAAGCGGTTGTCAGGACTTGCACTCATGCACTTACATCATGACCTTGACATTGATGTTGACCAAATCTGTACAATCTTTGTTACCAAGCACAAGAGTAGGATGTTCCAAGGGTGCATCCTTTGCGAGTAAAATTCAAGTATCCAGTAAGGGGCCAAGGAGTTTTATCGTGCAACCGCGACTGGTGAGAGGGGGTGTGAGGATTGTGGGGAGAAGTACCGTATTTATTCGAATAGGCGCCCCACCTCAAATTAGCGCCCACCTAGAATAAGCACCCATCCTAAAGGCAGAAAAAGTTAATAAGCGCTCACCTCGAATAAGCGCCCACTCGCACGGTCCAAACATTTAATAAGCGCCCAGGGTGGTTAATCGAATAAATACGGTAATTTGCCACAAAAAAGTTCAACGAGTCCTTTCTGAACCAGCCCCCCCTCCACCTCCCAATCAAAAATTCCTGGATCCGCCCCTGAAAAGTTATCGTCACTCCCAAATGTAAAGGAATCTGGATTCCAGAATCAGGGAAATTTTTGCTTGTAGAATCCTGAATGCTGGGCTTTGGAATCGGCAATACAGCTCTCTTACAACTGAGTGGAATCAAGAATTCAAGTTCCACTGACAAAGACTGGAATCCAGTACCTGCAATCTGGAAACCACGATGTGGAATCCAGGATCCAAGTCTGTTTTAAATTCTCTTACGTGGGGCGATCAGCCCTTCATAATACCTTAATGAGAGCATCGAACCGTCAGCATCCATGTGAGCTAAATATCCAGGCGGGGCTGTCAATAGCTCCATAGCATGAAAACCAGTTGTTAGCGAGAAATTTTTTTAAACTATTTCTTGAAAGTAGTTGCACTATTAACTAATTTATAAGAGGAAAGGTTAGGGCCAAAGCTCCAACTCATGATAACAGTTGAGCTGTGTCCTTTTAGTTAACTGATCACAATGGATCTTATTCACCTTTTTCCTGGGAAGTGAAGGGCTATCAAAAACGTAGCCTGTTCACAGACCCTCTATTTTCTCTTCAAAGTCCCTCGAGCGCAGTTGATAAAATATAAACCGCAGGGGATTTATTGACCGCCGGCGTAAGGGGTTAGTGGCGTGGAAAGAAGAAAATAGTACTTTTCTTTCTCGCGCGCTCACCGATGTTTTTGAAAGGAACGAAAAGAAAAATAAAACGTCTATTAAGAGGCTATGGTTATCGTTTGACCGTAGTTACTAAAACGAGGAACATTAAGAACATTGAGACTTGAATTAAAAACTCTCTTTATACTTTATGTTTTTAGTGGTTAGTTCATCCTGTAAATGTCAGTGGCTACAAAATCGAGGTCATAGTGCATAACCGGCTGCGTCGCGGAAAAAGGGCGGTGACCCGGAACAACCGTCATAAAAACAAATTCTAGTTGGTAAGTTCGTAACACGCCACCATGCATTCGTTATATCTGCATGATTGAAACAGAGTTCTTAGAATCTTGAGGTCAGTCTGAGTCTCTACAAAATCAACACCAGCTCCGAGATCCTCCTTTCCCAACTTTATGAAAATTAATGGATTAGATTAATAATAGGAGAAAAATTATATTGCAAAGTTGGTGTTTCTTCATCTTGTTTGTTGTTTTTTGCTGGTGATGCGGTGTTTGTTATTTTTTTTCTGTAGTGTTGGCAGTTCCCTCCTAGCTCCTTAACGTAAAACATGAGAATTAAATTTTTCCCAGTTGACAAACCTGTCTCATACCCGTTGAAAGCAAGTAAAGTGATGCGGAGTCTAAAGAAACACAAATATATTTACACACATTCCACATTAAACATTTCATTCACACACAGTCGAATAAATGCAAGCCATGTTTTTTTTTTAAATGTACGTTTATTAAGGTTAAAGAGCTCTGCCCGCAATCATCGGAACATCTAGTTAATGAGTTACATTGAAAGAGTAGGTTTTCAGCATGCATCCATTCTGAAATCACTGGTGATCCCTGCAATCTTATTGGCTCTCAGCACTGTGATTTATTCACGAATTGCACTATTTTTGCTTCAAATCACATCTCTTCTAAATTGTGTCATTCATGTTCTAAATCGCATAGTTTTTGTTTCAAATCGCAACAGTTTTGCTCTTACATCGCATCATTTTTGTTTCGATTACAAAATGAGTGTAGAAGCCTTTTAATGCTTCTACTTTTCATCAAACGACTACTAGATCAATTTAACTTGGTACTGACTGAATTCTGCGATTTCAAAATGCTGTAATTAATTAATTAAACTTCGTGTAGTGCAATTTTGGTCTGAAATCATACTAGTTTTGTGATTTCAAATCGAACTCGCGCTGCGCGCTCCCATTTTAAAATCGTGCGTATAATTTCAGACCAAATTTAACTCTCGCTCAGTTCAATTACCATTATTTACAACCTCCAACATTCACAATTTATCTTGTAGGTCTCTCTCCTTCAAGGATGACTCTTTAAACCACACATTATCAAAGACCCCGCCAAATAGCCTACCTCTGTCAATTCAATCCGTTTCGTTTTTTTTTCCAACGGCGGGGATTCTTTTGGTCACTGGCGCTGATCGAAAGGATCGCGGTCTAAGTATAAACACCCGCTCAAGTTGAGTCGGTTGGGAGGGTGTTCCATCTACCCGCAGCAGGCCTTCTTCATACAAACGGAGCCTCAGTTAAGACATAGGTTTGATCTACGGTGTAAAAACGACTCAATGCCTAAGGATTGTGTAAAAATCTAACAACGAATCAGCAGCATATACTACACCAAACTAATACCCGATGAATTTGCAAGGATTGGGTGATCACTAATAAGGTTTCTGGTCAATGTAAAGTGACCATGCCCGTAGCATGGCTAAAACAACAGCAGCTGGCTATGTTAAAGCTAACCCTGATCATGAACCGACGAAACCTTTCGCAAAAAGCCAGATTAAAAGGTGCACAAAGATTGATGTCAAAATTTATGCTGATGCCGTCCAACAGTAACATCGCCCATTAAAAATTGACCAAAAGGCTCTGATTGATTTCCAAAGGTGTCGGCAACATGAATCTTATGTACCCGGTTTTAAAGCATCCATCCTAAGGTAGGAATGCCTTCATTTGTTGCAAAACAACCGTTAAGGCAAAATTGAGTGATAATAAACAAATCGACTACTTAATGATGCGTGAGATTCAACTAACTTTAGCTTTCAATAATAATAGGCACACAAGTAGAGAGGCTCAAAACTCCTCTGCTCCTCCCTCAAATAGAGTCCTAAATTAAAATAGCGATATTTTCAAACTTATTTTATAACTACTTGTTTGAATGATGATGGAACAAATCCTCAAAAAGAGATTTCCCACTGTAAACCAAGCCAAGTGCAGCAGCAAGGAAACCGAAAATTAAAACTGATATATCAAAAATATAATGGTATAGTTTTAGCTCATGTTGTTTTATGACGAGGTGGAAAATTACTGGTAAAATAAACGCAATTGCAGATCCCGTTAAACTTGAAATAAACGCCATAAAGAGCGCAAAATGTGGGATTATAATTGCTGGAAGTAGGGTAAGGAAATTGGTTGAGACTCGGATGCCAATAAACCAAACAAGATCCGGTATCTTGCAAGAGAACGAATCGGGGGAGACTGATTCTTCGATTGTTTGGATTATCGTTATTACACAGAAAGGATATGAAAAAATTCCGTTTAAAAGTAAAAATGCGTTTACAAGGCTACGGATAACTCCCACAGGAAGGCTGTTTACGATAACATCTTGGATATTAGAACTGAAAGATAAAAATGCACACACTGAAAAAACCACTTTTACGATAGCAACGAAAAAGTATGAAAGGGCAAGCATTGTGCGATATTTGGATTTGTTTTCCATGCTTGCCTCAACACCTGGCAAAACAGGGTGGCATATATAACTGAAGATAACAATTGCAAACGAAACAGGCACTTTATCTATATTCCACACCAAGATTTCCCTTGGGGCCCATGAGTATTCATGAGCTATTCCGTAAGCTAAAACAGCAACTACTGCTACCATTAAAGCTATCACACTCAATAAACTCATCCATGCAACCTGCGAGAGATTCTTCACAAATAAAGTTGGAAGACTCACCGCAGCTGCGATAACATCCATACTTTGTCGGACAGCGGCAAATCTGGAAAGATACCTCTCGAAAGCGAGGCAAATAATACAAGGTACAAAGATGCCAGGAGAAAAAGTTCCACTAACTGGATAGTGGAAACTATGGTACCGCCAAAACGAGGCGAGAAAGCTTCACCCAGTTGTTTATAGTTGGATCTGACACGCACTCTTTCTCCAGCATCGTTGTTTTCGTAAAGGCAGTCAATCAAGATTGCTCCAGTGTAGAAAGCGATAAATGGCACAACTGCCATTGCTGCTATGGCCACTAGTCCACTCTGAGCAATGACATATGGTAGTGCGAGCAGGCCTGTTCCCTCAATGCTACTCATCAAGTTGACTACTGCTTTCCAGAGGGGAGACTTGTCGGTGGCAGCTGCTTTGTCTTCGGCTGATTCTTCTTCTTGGGTTGATTCCGGTGGTTCTTCTAACTCATCAGCCAAGACTGGATCACTTCTAAGCAAATGGTAACCGGTGGAATGAGTTTCTTTCTTCATTTTTAAAGCTGACATCTCTTTGCCACTTTTTTGTCCGGCGCAGCCTTGAAAATGTTTTACACAGTCGCTTTTCTTCAGAGCCTGAAAAAAGAAATAAAGTCAGAGGTTTCTTGCCATAGGGTACTGCTGTGGCAAATATCATCGCTTTACCAGTTTGGTCCAAAAAAAATTAGAGACTTTTGTAGATTTTTTTTAATAACAAATCTTGTTTTCAGTGAATGTTTTTTAGCACTGTGAAGGCTGACTGTCAAAGAATATTGGGAGCTCTTTGCCATTTGTGGACAACTTTTAATGGTCAGGCATAATTTATATGGTCAACAGTTAGATTTATTAATGGCAACAAGGGGCTACCTGTATTTTCTTATGTATAAAAGGTAGAAAAACATATGCTTGAAATGTTATTTTGCTTGATCTGAAGAACTTTTATATTGGATTTATAGGCATGGCTCCAGAGAAATAATGGGACAGAAGAAATGGTTACAGGCTGTAGTACATGTAGTTATATTTATGCAAGTTGTGATGGCCAAGCTTAAAAAATACTCCACAAAAGTATTTCTAGATCATCATTTCTAGATATTCATGAGTAAATAAAGAAACGTGATACTTCCAGCTTTTGCTATCAGATATTACGAAGCCTACAACTTGTAGCCTTGCTATCTTTATAAAGGCCAAAACTTTTTTAGTATCAACTGAATTCTTAAAAATAATGGTCCATTTTTGTTATTTAAAACTATATTTGGGCCTTGAAACTGTTTCCTTTTGTCTTTTTCCACGGATGTCAAGGATGTAAATGGATTGAAACTTGAAAACGTTGGTTATGCCTGCAGAAAATCACCAAAAAATTATTATTATAGATATTGTTCCCTGATGGAAATAGTTTTAGATCGTTTTCATAACTCTACACATGCTTTTTTTTGGACAACACGAATAAAGTAATGTTTCAGCACAGAATTGACCTCAAACAGCAATATCCTCGTGACACTATTTTCCCGCTTTAAAGGAGAGGAATTGGTGCCATTTTACGAGAATCCCTACCAAGGCTTAAAAAAAGCTAAAAGGCTTAGCGTAGACTAAGTCATTTATTTAGCTCCTAAACCTCTTGGGTACAAATGACTCTAGACATGAAGCTGTTAACAACGAACTCTTGATGAATTTAGTTGCATGTGTGAGTATACGTAATTGGTTTTTGATTGGCAAACTAAAATTGGCATAGGGCTGTGGCGAATCTTCCACCCATTCCATTTGTCTTTATAGTGTTGGTTATCGTAAATATGTTTAGATACAGATGTACTTTTCTTTCTGTCTGTTCATCACTAACTAACCAATTAATTTTCCAGGTATTTTCATTTACTTTATTTACTCCGTTATTGTAAATTTTTTGTTTGATGGTCTCGTGGTGATTTAGGCTCGAATGATGCGATATTTAACTAGTGGGAAGTTTTTAAGCGAGCCAGAACAGCAACTCGCTTTGAGAGTTTTTTCCTGAGATGAGCGACGCTGGATGACGAAGATAGGGAGGGATCGAGGGGTCGCGAACTGCAAGGTAGGCAGTGTTAATGGCAGTGACTAGCTAATCAGCTACCGCCGTCAAGTCGAAGAAGGAGATCTCGCCTGAAGTTATATCGCCCGAACTCCAGAATTAATTTACGCTTAGATACAATAGCTTTAACTCTATAAAATAAACAAATACCATGCGGAATTTGGAGTGATGTTCAGAGACTATATAAGTCGCTGAAGGCGTCTTGGTCAATCTGCCTTGAAAAATAGATTTCGCTTACTTACAGTGTGTTGAAAGATTTTTATGCACTTAATATACTAAAATCGCACTAATACCGCACCTAAAAAATTCAAGAATGATTTATGTTAGATTTCAAAACACGTTAAGTTTATGAAATAAATGAATAATGTTGAGAGACGGTATCTAATATAAGAGCTCAGGTCGGTTCAATAACTTGAACCTAGAAATGAGGGCCTCCACTTGTGTAATAGTTAATCAATAATGTTACAAATAGTTATTCATCTTTTAGGCAGTAATATAAAAAAAAACTGGCATCCTCCTCATCTCCTAATTCTCTGACCACGCCTCTCCCTTGACAAGGCGGTATACATAATTAATGTAACCTAAGGGCATAAGATCACAGGTCTTGGCCGTTAATTATTAAACAATTACTGAATGAGGGGGGGTATCTTATGAAGAATTAAGGAGATCGAGGAAGGTGTTATCCGGCCGAGGCTGATGACACCCTCCGAGATCTCCATAATTCTTCATATGATACGAAAGCCGAATTCAATAATTGTGTTATTATTCAATTCAAAATAATTCTTAGTTTAAAAACGTAGCTAAAACATGCTTACCACCATCGATGTTAAGTTCACCTTCGATAGTGCACGTTTAGGGTTGTTCAGCTCCGCAAATATTCTCCAAGTAGCAGATGTCTTCCTTCGAATTGTCTTCTTGCTGTTCTTGCCATGTTTTTAGCTATATAATTATTTCGCCTAGTTCTTACTATTGAAACGAGTAAAATGTCCGCCATTTTTGTTTTCAGAACCAAAACAACTCAATCTCGTCCCCAGGTCTTCTCTGTTAACGGTGTATTAACCTGCAAGAAGACTGTACTTTTGACGTCATCGGTTCATTAAACGCAAAATTGTTCCAAATTTAGTCATCAGTAGCTGGTTATTGGTGAATTATGCGTGTGCTTTTAGCAAAATCAAAAATCAAAATCGGGGAAATATTTTGAATAAATAATAAACGTATGATAAGAGCACAGAATCGATGATTCGTGTGAGCTTAATAAACATTAGCTCATTGCACAGCAAAATCGAGGTGTTATGGTAACACCAAAAAAGTGTAAATTTTTGCAGCTGTGTGAACACCAAATAGGTGTTCAGTTAACACTACTGTCGTGTATATTTACACCAAAATGGTGTAAATATGACCTACATACGATCCTGAATGCGTTTAAAAACACCTTTGCAGTGTTACAGCAACACTGACCTGGTGTATATTTTCTCTATATTGGTGTTTAGTAACACCAAAATTGGGTTAACGTAACCAATTTTGGTGTTAAAATACACCAAAAATATGTCTCCTTTACACTGTTCTGGTGTTTTTGTTACACTAAAAAAGAGTAATGATGACACTGAATATGTGTAAAACCCATTGCAGCTGTGTGCACACCAAAGTCAGGTAAATTTACACTACTGGGAATTTTACACTGTATTAGTGTAGATCAACACTTCCAATTGTGTTATAACACACCGTTTGAGTGCTGAGCCAACACTATTTGTAACTCATGAAGAAGTCTTAAAAGTAGACAAAGTAACAGCTACGACAACAACCTGTAAATTTACTCCCATTTAATTGCTTTACCCTGATAGTAATAAAAACTTTGTTCTCTTCAGAATTCAGTAAAACAGCATGAATTAAAACAAGTGTTGAAAACTAAGAGGACTGTACACCGTAGGTCTTTCTTTTCTAAGACTTTTTATAGGGAGGTTAATACGACAATGACGGCGACGAAAATGTTACGAAAAAAGCAATAGATTTATATTAACAAAACAACATCTTTGCACGTGCATCACACATTTTTGCTTATTTTCTTGCCGTTGTTGCACGACTACGACATTTAACTATACCTAATTTCACCAGTTTTGCGGAGGATGAGAGCACACTGCATGAGAGAACGATTTTCTCATGCAACCTTTTTTTAAAAATTCGAATATTAATTTAGTCCTTTACAGAACTACAGAAGCCGGAGAGATGAAATTTGAAACAACGTGGATCTACTTTTTAAGAGACGTTTTTGCCACCGTCGTTGTCGTCGTTCGGCTTAGCTATTGATGTGAAAGGCAGATTACACAACAAGTCGGGCAGATTTAATTTTAGTTTGCTTTAATTACGAGCTCAGAACTGATTCAGTTCATTCATGAGCTGTAATACCTTAGTCGGTATAGTTTAACATTGTCCATTCAAAACTTCTCTCTGGGACAAATGAATATGAGTGTCTGCATTCTTCCGGATATTCTATATTACACACAACATATATTAGAGTGAGCAAGGCGCTGGTATGTCCTCCATTAACCTTTAGAGGGAGATTCCTTTCCCCACTCAGGTATATATCATCTGGGGCTTGCAGTTGCCCCTCAAAGATGATGAAGGGCGTCATTCCCTCCTTGCTGTTCTCGGCAACTTTCTTTGCATCAACACCATTCTATAAAGAGGAAAAAAGAGGCAAAAGAACACTTTCAATAAATGTGTTTTCTCAACTGCAGCATAATAAAAGTCAATAAATATTGAAATGGAAAGTTTTGTATGTTCATCCAATTCTTCAGATGGCCCGAACCTATTTATATGCACGTTGGGTATGTTTTTGAATCGCGTTTCTCATTTTTGGCATCCTTCATAAAGAATAGTGCAAATTTAAGAAAATGTTGTTTATTTTTGTGTAGGTTTAACACTGTTTGAGATATCAGCTTATGTTTAAAACCGAATTTTTACAAAAACTGTCAAAAAATCATAGAAATTGGTTGAATGGTTCCTGCCGAAAAACGAATTAGGATTGTAGTACAAGCATGAAAGGTTTGGCCTGATTAAATGAGGAAATAATGTTTGCCTCCTGCTCAACTTCTGTTTGCGAGACTCCTTCACTGAATTGTTTCACTGCAACAGGCATTTCTCGATAAAAGGCAAGTCCAGTGTAACTTTTCCAATCTTTCCTTCCCAAAGGGTTATTAAGTTTTTGGAATCACTGTCCATATTCACATGTACTTTCTGTTCCCGTGGAATCCTAGGAATGAGTTTGTTACTGCCACAGCACTATCTGAAGAATTGATTGACTTATATGTTTTATTTTTCATCTGCAAATGAAGCAATCTTTCTTTTTCACGTTCTGTTTGACGCCACAGTTGGTGAAACTTCTCTTGATTTTTTTTTTGACAAAAGACAGTTTTTCTTCGGTTGTCTGTATTTTCTTTTTTTTCTTGAACTAGCTCTTCAT